GTTCAGACTCATTCTTTGAAACTCTTAGCAAGTCTCCAATTAAATGCTTTCTTTTATAAGCAGTCTTGGTCATGCTGTCTCTTCATAGCCATAGAACAGTAACTCTGTTCTCAGGATGAAAGCCAAGCCTTGCCCTTCAGCCCTCCCACAGGTTTACCCTGGTAATTCTCTTCCTCCTTCATCACCATGCATGTATGTTCCCACCCAGACTTGTATGATGGGGCATCCTAAGGAGATTGGTTCTTCTGTCACTATGTGGATAGTTAATTCGGGGAAGGAAGCTGGACCATGTGTTAATGACTTGATTTCTGAGTTAATCTGTGTTCCATGATTTAAGGCAAACTGAGGTTTTTTGTTTAACTTTGTTTTTAAAATTGTGGGGAGGACATTTTTCTCTCTCTCTCTCTCTCTCTTTTTTTTTTTTTTTTTTTTTTTTTTTACTTTTATTGATTCTTTGTGGATTTCCCATCATGCATTCCAAATCCATTCATCTCCCTACCTCCTTGCATCTGCCCTTGCAATCTCCCCCGCCCAAAATCAAAACCAAATTAAAAAAAAGAAAAAGAAAAACCAAACAATACAAAGAAACAAAAAAGAAATAAGGAGGAGAAGGAGGAAAAGGAGGCGGGAAGAAGAGAGAGAATATTGTCATGGAAGCTGTGAGGCCTGTTGAAATACACAGTTTACTCTTTAAGTCCGTTTATGTTCAATTGAAAGTGTTCTTTGCCACGAGTCACTGGTCTGGCTCGAGGCCTCTGGTTTCTGCTACAGCACTGGTAATGGGCTCTCACCAGAGCTCTTCATGGATATCCTGTTGTCATGGAGATACTGCCATTTTGGATCTGTAGGTTTGTCTCATCCTCTTCACATGTTCCAACAGTTCATAGATTTGTTGGATGTTGAGATAGGTCAACTCATATCTCTGGCTCTGAGCCTGGGTGGTAGCTGGGTTGGTCAGCCCACTAGCCTTCGTGGGGAGGACATTTTTATGGAAAAGAGCAAATGGCCATACCATCTGTACCATGCTTTTCACTTTCCCCTTCTCTCCTTTCTATTTGTTTCTGTTTTCCCGACATTTTGAAGACAGATGTGACTGTGTCTTTGCTTCCTTAATAATCTTGTTACTCCTAGCAGGAAATGCCTGCTTCCTTGCCCTTTCACAATAATCCACTCTTGCTAACAACTGAGATCTTGGCCAGCATCAGGGATAGAAGCTGGGATAAGAATTATGAGGGAGGGACGGAGAGATGGCTCAATGGTTCAGTGCAATGGGTGCTCTTTCAAGGACACTGGTTTGAGTCCTAGCACCCACATGATGATTCACAACTATCTGTAACTCCAGTCCCAGGGATCTGATCCCTTCTTCTGGTCTCCACTGGAACCAGGCATTTACATGGTATACAAACACAGACACTGAGACAAAGAAAAGAAAAACAAGTTTTAAAAAGGGCAAAAGTAAATGAGAAGGGAGAGGAGGAACCAAGATGGGAAATAGATGCTACAGAGAAGGCTGATCCTTTTCTTATTCTGACCATACAGGAGGAATGAACAGTTTGCTCAGGGTCTTGATGTGACTTCAAGGTGCCACTTGACTGGCCGCACTGGTTCTAATATCCATGGGAGAGAGGTATCTAAAGGAAAAATTCTGGACTTAGATAAAGCATTCCTAACCAAATAATACACAAGGTGATCCTAGCATTGTGTGCTGACATCCAAGCTCACATCCATGTGGAGGATGTCTCCAGAGGACCTACATGTTCAGATAAAAGTTTCAAAAAATTATCATTACTTTCAGCTCTTGAAGAATAAATAAATAAATAAAAACATTTATTCTGGTTTGTATTTTTGGTTTTCTGAGAAAGGATTTCTCTGTGTAGCGCTGGCAGCCCTGGAACTTGCTTTGTAGACCAGGCTGGCCACCTGCCTCTGCCTCCCAAGTGCTGGGATTAAAGATGTGTGCCACCACCACCTGACATAAAATAAATTTTAAACATGTTTTACACAGGTCTAATATGTAGACCAGGCTGGTTTCAAACTCACAGAGATTGTGTTGTCCCCCCAGTGCTGGTATTATGAAGTTTTTGTTGTTATTGATGATGATGATGATGATGAAGGTGGTAGTGGCCTCCTTTTTTCTTTTTTGTTTTGTTTGTTTGGTTGGTTGGCTGGTTAGGATTGCGGGGAGGATAGTGCTGAGAATCAAATTCAGGTTCTTACACATATTAGAACAAGTAGTAGCCAGCCCTAGGATAAATATTTTTAAAGTAATGTATGGCTAGCAGGTAAAATCCTAAGCTATGCTGTCCAGAGAAAACTAGCGGCACAAATCAAGAACATCTAAACTATTTGCTCTAGTCAAGGCAACAGAGACAGCAAGCAAAAGGGTGGCTGGCAGAGACTGTGGGGTGGGTGGGGGCAAGGAGACAGTGGGACATTCGTGTGTAATGGGTACTGGATGCATTCAGGGGGTGGATGCTGGTGATACATATATACAGCAGTGTGAATAGACCACACTTCTTGCACTTAAAAGATGGTTAAAATGGTAACTTTGTTTTATATATTTTACCACAACAAAAACTGGAACGCAAGAAAAATGTTCATTGTGATAGAGATATTATACAATATTGTTTATATTTTTGTGATCTTGTGTGTAGAAAGAAGTAGAAGCCGGGAAGACATTCTGGACACAAAATGATAATGGATATCATCTCTGGGTGAGATTATAAACAGTCGTTCCTTTCATTGTTTCTTAATATTCTAGTAACTACTCAATATTTGTGTAATCGGAGAACAATAAAGTCCAGAAGCACTTTGCTTACAAGTCTCTCTAGCATTTGTTAGAGCAATAGTACCAGTTGTTACCTTCAAGCACACAGTTTAGTTACTTCCTTTTAAAGTCCATTTCCTACTTCCAATGATCAGTTCTGCAGGAGCAGAACCCTTGTCTTACTCATGCAGGACCCTCTATAAATATTCAGGTAGAATGGGTCTATGTAAACAGATAGACCAATGGAAAGTAAGTTCTTATTATCTCCATCTAGGGCTCCTGCTTCTATAACAAACATTAAAACTGAGAAGTTTATAAATCACAGGACTTTATTACTTATAGACCTGGAAGCTGGCAAGTCCAAGATGAAACTGCCAGCAGACTCAGGGTCTGGCAGTCACCTTCCTTCATAGCAGAGAGCCCCTTTGTGTACCTTCATGTGGGAGAAGGGAATAGCAGGTCCCTGTACCTCTTTGAAAAGGGCACTAATTCCTCTTAGAATTCTGTCTTTGTCACCTAATCACTTCCAAAACAGGACCACACCACCGGATAAGCTTCCCTGTGTGAATGGGGGTACATTCAGACTGTAGCACTCGGGTCAAAATAGTTGGCATTTTTTTCTGTCTTATGCACTCAGGAACAACCCACTTCCTGGCATCTGTAGGGAAAATTACAGGGAGGCTTTCTCTGGTGCAGGATCATCAAAACGAAGCCTAACTAGGTGAACCCTATGGAAAGTAGTGACACAAAGGGTGTAGGAATGTGTAAAGAAGATTATAGAAGAGGAGAAATGTTGTGACCACTTCCAGACACTGGATCTGACATATCTAGTCAATAATGATCCATCAAGTCGATTCTATGGTCCAGGGACTGAGGTCACAAACACCATTATATGTCATTTGTTTGACATCTCACAAAAGATGGTAAGGTCTTGATGCCACTAAATTCTGTGTTTTTGTGCACTTACATGCTTGTACAGAACTTCACAGAGATTGGCTAGTCCTGTGTTATTTGTCCCCCATTTATATTTGCTTTATCTGACATTTGTGCAATTATGCCTACTAAGCACGGTTCTAAAAGGAATACCAACGATTGGTGAAGAGCATCGAAAGGCAGAATCGGATGCTTTGTAAGGCAGTTCAAGTCAGCATCCCCTACAGTGCACTTCCTGGAACCCTGGGGATATACGGGTTCATTTTATTATATCAAAAACCTATTTTGGGCTAAACAACCTAAGAACATTTTGAGATAAGTTTTTTTAAACCATGGCATAGGAATTAACACTTCATTGTATACGGCAAGTCTCCTAGATGGGGAGGTCTTTTGCTCGGGCTTCTGGGTAGCAGAGCACTTCGATGTCTAGAATTGCATGAGATGAGCATCGGGAAAGGTTATCTCTCCATAATGAGAACATTCGCCTTTAAGCAGGTGGCTCACAGTCACAGATCCAGATGGGAGCTGTGTCAAGCCTCTGAGGTACACTTGGCACCTGCACAATCTTCGTTCATTCAGAACCATTTATCAAACCATTCCTCTCACCTCATCTCCTTCCCGTCACAGCTTTCCCAGCTGCTGGTCGTCTCTAAGGAAACCAAAGCTCCAGACTTGAGCCCTGTGTTGCTTTGTTTTTGTTGTTCGAGATCTTGCCTCTCTGTGTAACCCTGGCTATCCTGGAACTCACTCTGTAGACCAGGCTGGCTTTGAACTCATGGAGATCTGCCTACCTCTGCCGCCTCCCCAGTGCTGGGATTAATGACGTGCACCACCACCACCTTCTAGCTCTGGTTTCTTGTATTAAGCTACATGGGGCCACTCTGAGTAGAGGTCCACCCACTTTATTGGACAAATGGAGCACTACCCAGACAGGTTCTCATGTCAGAGACTAAACCAACAAGGTAGACTTTATGTCAAAAGTTCTTGCTTCATCTTATTTTGAGTGACCTCTTTGATGTGTTGGAGATTCTTAATGCCTTATTTCTAGATGTACTTGGTACCGAGCAAAAACTTTGCTTCTGTAGACTGAACCACCAACCACCTTCTAAGTCCTCAGATATAACATTAGTGCTTTTCCATACGCATCTGAAGCTTTCACACAATGAGATTAAGGCAGTCACGCAAGGTCAGTGGGGCAGTTCTCCTTTCTAGCCACATGGGCGACTTTGAAGGCTTCAGGAGAAACCACAGTGACTTTAAACCACAGCCCGGTAGAGCCTCTCCAATTTCAATCTCTTACCTTGTAACTTGGGTTCTCATTCCAAAATCCAGTGACCTCATCGATTGCAGCACTTCAATGCAGCCCATGTACTAGAAAAAAAGAAAGAAATAAGTGGGAAGGTGCAAATACCAAAACACCTACTCTGAGCTACTGAGCTAGCTACACAGCGACTTCCTGGGCCATGGCCACAGTCAGCTCCCGATGGCAGCTGTGTTCGTGTCCATCACCTGTGTTGATATTTCTGACCACCAACATCAATTAACTACAAAGTAAATGCAAACTCAGGTACTGGGAATGCTGGTGACAGGGATGACCTTAGGCTCAGGGAGTATGGATATGAGGTCTTCACACTATGATGTGTTTTAAAGCCCCAGCTAGTGACCAACTTTTCTACATTGGTTTTGTCCTTGGTAAAATGAAAATACAGTTGGAATTGTTGCGAGAGCTAAATTATTTCACCTATGGAAAGCTTTTAGAACAATCCCTGGCAGGCATAACCACACAGATGTCAGAAGGAGCAAAAATAAGTAGGAGATATATAACACAGGAGTGTCCAATCTCCTTAGTGCTGGAACAAGCATATAAATGCAAAAGACAGAACTTAGTAACATTAAGAAGGTCTTATCGGAGCTGGAGAGGTGGCTCAGCAATTAGGAACACTAGCTGCTCTTACAGAGGACCCAGGTTCAATCCCAGCACCCATATGGCACCATTATCCGTAATTCCAGCTCCAAGGGATCTGAACCTTCACACAGACATGTGTGCAGGCAAAATACCAATGCACATATAAAATAAAAATAAATTATAAAAATAAGGTCTTATTGTCTTTTATAAGATCATTATAGCTCAAATAATAATAATAATGATAATAACCGTGCCCTAAAACAGTGCTTGGCTGGTAAGTTTAGCTTGAATATGGAACATTGGAAAAGGTGTTGTGACTTCTAAAACAAAAACTGTTCATAGTCAATGTAACAGTAGGGAAGCCAAGTCAGGGATGTGGTTAAAGAGGTTTAAGTCAATGTAAAGATGGGGAATAGTGAGACTACACAGTAGGATGGTCCCTGAGAGAGGAAAGAAATGCTGGTCCACACGGAAGACGGATAGGAGCAGTGAAAAGGAGACAGATTCAAGTGATATCAGGGGGAAACATACCACAGGATTCAGCAGCTAATTTGCTAGTAGAGTAGGAGAAGAGTGAGTCAGAGATGACTCAGCTGCTTCCAGCCTGGGCACAGAGGAACCTGAGTGTCATCCCAGGACCAGTGGGAAGGGGGCGGGCAGGAAAGAAAGGTTATGCATTGCTTTGGAGCCCATTGATCGCAAGACACCAGTTGGGAAGGCAGGAAGTAACAGGCTGACAGCTGAAAATTGAATTCAGTGTCCCCGAGAGGACGAAGCAGAGGGAGGGACAAGGGGAGAGACACGGTCACGCTTTCTAAGCATCTCTGCAGGTGAGGCTGTGTGACCCTCCCAGCAAAGCTGCAGAGACTCTGAAGAGTGTGACACTGAAAACTGACTTGGGAGAGTTATGATTGCCAAGTGGTGTGAATGAAAGAAAGGTCTCTTGGGGCCTCAGAAATGAGGCACTCCCTGTTCTGCTGTCCTTTGGAAACCCTCAGCATCCTTGGTGACAGGAAGAGGAGCGGCACCCCGCCCCCCAGCTCCTTTCTGTCATGATTCCCGGTGGATTTTATAGATGTCTTATCCTCAAACTGCTGTTATGTCTGGAGGGAAACATTCTCAGCCAGACCCCACTAGTCATACTCCTCCTGGGGGGTCTCACAAAAGCATTCTGTGTACTTGGTTCTTAACTTCCTAGGCTTGAGCACAGCAGGGAAGTGAGGTGTCTGGGGCCTGGGACTAACTGACACTTAAGACTTATCAGTCAAAGGAAGGTCGCTTTAGGGACCCTGCTGGAAAGCACATTCAGAACTGTAGTGAAGGAGGATGCTGCAGTCCACACTCCACGATGAGGCAGATGGAAAGAACTGCCTGAGAGTTCTCATTGGCTGCTCTTACTAGATAGTCCTCTCTACCCTCCTCGCCCCAGACCCTGACTCATGCACCCCAACTCCTACACACCAGTCTTAGGAAGAATGGAGTCTATACATAAGTCAGGGAGCAAGTCTGGGCTACACTTCCAATTCTCCAGGATGCTGGTGCTGAGGTGGGTGCCTTCCCTGGCATTTATGCCTCACTAACACAAGCTGACCTATGTGAACATGCCTGAGAAGGTGTGGGTACTACATTTCCACACTCCAACCCAGGGATTTCTAATACATACATACATATTCTTCACCGCTGAAATCTCTTCACAAAGCACAATCATTACTATCAATGCTTAGACCTTTGCTTTCCTTGCTTCCATTGCTAAGTGCCCCACTCCCACACTTTGATATAATCTTGGTCTCTATCTTTGTCTTACCCAAGGGCAGAGCCTCTCCACTAGTCATTCTCCCTGACTAACTCCTCTCTCTCCACGTTACAGGTCTGATTCTTCTTCTTCCTGCAGGTTTTAATTAACATGAACTGTCCTTAGGTTCCCTCCTGTCACTCATTAGCACAACCCTTACTTGTCCCTCCCATGCCACTGAGCATCAGGTTCATCTGTCAGCTTGCTAGCTCATTTCCTTGGCTGTAATCAGTGTTGAAAGAAGGGCCTGGGACTGTTTCCAGTACCCAGAAGTACTCAGCAAACACACACACACACACACACACACACACACACACACACACACACACACACACACAGAGAGAGAGAGAGAGAGAGAGAGAGAGAGAGAGAGAGAGAGAGAGAGAGAGAGAGGATACTTCTGTTACTCTACAGAGAGTAGCTGGTTCTCTACTGTATGTACCTTTATTTATTTTATTTTTATTGTACCTTTAAAATAAGTAGAAAGAAGAGAAGTGGCAGAGGGAGATGAAGGTTTGGCCAAGTCTCCACACTGTGCTGAAGGGGAATAGGAACACTGGCGTCTCAGAAAAGCCATGAGTACTACCTCAGTCTTGCTTTCCGTTACTGTGATAAAGTATCACAACAAAAGCAACTTAAGGGACAAAGGTTCTATTTTGGCCCAGAGTTGCAGGGTACAGTCCATCATGGTAGGGAATCCAAGGCAGAAGGAGTTTGAAGCCACTGGTCACATAACATTCATAAAACAGAGAATAATAAACATTTGTGCTCAGCTTTCTTTGTCCAATTTATACAAACCAGAATCCCAGCTCAGGAATGGGGCCACCCACAACAGGCAGGTCTTCCCACCTCAATAGCATCAAGACAACTGCATCCCCTGCTTGCCTCGGGTCCATCTCCCAGGCGATTCTACATTCTATGACACTGACGACACTGTCCTCACAAGTAACACAGGTCGTAGGGATGCCACCACGGGCAGTTGTGTGACGTTCTTAGCAATATACTCCACGGGTAGTATATAGACCCTGGAGACACTCAGCCCAGACGGGAGAATTTTTGATAGAGTAGGATGACGGAGACTGAGAAGAAAGGCAAATCCACTGCATGTCCGAATAGTAGAGGACAAAGAGCAAAGACAATCAACTGGAATAGACATCCCAAGGCTAATAGGTCCAAGACCCACATGATGTGGGTGTGGGCAGAATTCTCAGCTCAGGGGGATGGTTCACAAACAGGGTTCTGGCATCAATAAGTAGAAGAGTTTTACTAGGTAAATGGAGGAAGAAAATGGTTATCTCAATGGTTATCTCCAAGGTTCTCTTCTTAGCTACATGTTACACTATCACCTCCTACCCACTTATCACCTCCTACCCTCTTCCTTGTAAGGTTGGCCCAGGTGTTGCTATGGGAGACCCTTCTCTTCAAGTGAACCTCCATGGCAATTCACAGTTAGCCATCAGCACCGGAGCCATGACATGACACATGAAGATACTGCAGGATTCTCCTGCCATCCTTAAACAATTTCTAGTCCTCGTTAAAAAACAAAACAGAGAAGGAAGGCAAGACATCCCTTCAGAACCGTGAGGCCGTCTGCACTGCCAGCCCTATTCCTGTGTGGAGGAGCAGGCATACTGAAGGCCCTTAGACTGGTACAGGGTTGGTGAGAGAGTGCAGGTCCCTTCCACGCGCTCCTGCAACTGTCTGAGCCATCCACTGCTTCCTCCCACTCACCCTCCCACCGCTCGCTCTTCCCTGAACCTCTCCTTCTTTGGCTTTTGTGGGAGCATGTTCCCCAGTTTATCATCTTTCTTTTTGGACTACCTTTCCCTGGTCTCTGTTGTTGGCTTCTTTTCATCCTGTCTATGTTTTCTCTAAACAATGATTATGACTCCTGCTTTTCTCAGCCTACACAAATGCTTTCTAATCCATTAGAATCATGAGAGAAGCTTTTTAAAATGCCTGATCTGGGCCAGTGAAACAGCTCAGTGGTAAGAGCCCCTGCCACCAAGCCTGATGACCTGAGTTTGAAATTACTCCAGAGAAGATGTCCAAGTGGCAGAAGCATATGGAAAGACATCCAACACAATCCATCAATTAGAGAAACGCAAATCAGTCTCTTCATAACCTCTGGAATGCATAATTTAAAACAAAAAAAGGAAATATTAGTAAAGATGTGTAGAAATTGGAACTGCCACACACTACTAAAAATGTTAAGCGCCATGGCCACAGCTGAGCTATGTTTCAAGAAAACTAAAGAGAATTAATGTATACAAACCAGCACTCCCACCCTTACAAGAGACCCAGGGAAGCTGGAAATACATAGCAACACAAAAAGTGCTCACAAGCTTTCATAGAAGTTGTATTCATAATAGCCCCAGGCTAGAAGCATTTCAATGTCCATCGACAGATGTGTGGAGAAAGGATACATAACTGTGCCCCAACATGGAGTCTGGCAATGAAAAGGAGTGAGGTGTGAGAGCATGCAATAGCTTAAATGAACACTGACGCCATTAGGAGGAGAGCAGGGACAAAAGAATGCCTAGTGTATGCTTTCATTCATACAAAATAACCCAGACCACTGCCATCTTCCCTCCCCTACATTCTCTTCCTTCTTCTATTTCTCTTCATGCATCTATTGCTGAAAAGACCACATAAAATCTGTCCATTTTCTGT